GAGGAAGTATATATTAATTAAAAATCACCCATCAGTTATACACCTGTGTGAAAACCAGAATTCAGAATGGAAAAAAACGCGTATTCAATCATTTTTGAGGATAGATGACAAAACAGGAGAAGCTGACAAACTGAACTTTTTTCAGTCATCTCAGAATCCAATTCAAAGTGTCAACGTGAATTCTGAATTTTTGCGGGAAAATTTAACATTTCAGGATGAGTACTATGAGTTACAGTAGCTCCAAGTCCACAGTAGGTTATTCTAGTCTGCAAACTTCCCCAGAGCTGTACACAGTCAGTTTTTTTTACATCCAAATATCTATCAATTAGGCACACATTTGCTTTGGCATCTCAGAAGACACTGATACTAAAAAGGTCTATATCAGTATTTTCAATAGTCATGTTCCATTTTAGGCCATTATCACTTCAAAAATCATCTCTTACAACTGGCCCTTCACACACTCCCTTTTGCCTCCTCCTCAAATCTATGTTGTGTGCTACTATTAGAAAAGACACTCTAGAACCAAACTTGGATCATATAAGTTTCTCACAATTCACAGAATTAATTCTTGGCTTGATCTCTTTGTCTTTCTGTTATACTCACTTGGTGAACCCAAGTACTGTTAAGTCTAAGGACCCAGCTTTCTCCAAACTTACATTCTTGCAGCTGAGGTAAACCACAAAGCTGTTCAATCCTGTTATTTCTTGAGTCAGTCTTTCAAGCCTTGTCCACCTTGCTCAAAACGCACCATAATACTCTTAGATTACCTCTCGATTCATAGACAATAGACTCTAATGTCCTCACCATTCTGCCCATGAACTTATAAACTGATTCGCATCCCCATGTATTTTTCCCACTATTCTCATGCTTTAAGAGAGAAGTGCCTCTTCTGGCCAAGACCAATCTCTCTAGTGATGCCCCAAAATATCCAATAATCAATTCAGGGGTTTCACTTCATTTCTACTGCTTGCCATCTCATTTTTGTATCTTCAACTTTTCATTTTCTACTGGCTTCTTCCCACTGGCATCTACATTTTTTTTTTTTTTTTTAATTTGCCTTCAACCAGGCTTCCTCTCACTACCTCCCTATCTCCTCTTCAATCATAGTCATTCATAGTTTTCTCTGTTAATTTTCCTCATTTCCTCTTCCTGCATTTACTCAATCATGATTTCTGGCCCTATTAGCCCATCAGAACCACTCTCTCCCAAATCACTAAAATAACATCTTGTGCTATATTCAATGGAAATGTTTTAAGGCTTAACTGACCTCTTACCAACAGTTTACCTGTTGTTTTCTCCCTTCTTAAAATACTTTTCCTGGCTTTCCTCTGACCTCCTGACTCCTTCATCAGTCTCCTTCTGTATACATCTTTTCCTTTCTTCATATCTTTGGGACTCTGAGACCCTAGGCTCTTCCCATTTTACATTGAGCAATCTCTTCGACTCTCATGGCTTCAATTATTTGCTGACTCCCAAATCTTTATCTCCAGCTCAGACCTCTCTCCTTAACAGACCCATATCAACTAATTGCTCCTTTTCTTGGATATTCCACTAGGTACTTCAAATTGCCTATGTCTAAAACTGAGGTTTTTTTTTTGAGGAAGATTAGCCCTGAACTAACATCTGCTGCCAATCCTCCTCTTTTTGCAAAGGAAGACTAGCCCTGAGCTAATATTCGTGCCCATCTTCCTCTATTTTATGTGGGACACCTGCCACAGCGTGGCTTGACAAGCAGTGCATAGGTCTGCACCTGGGATCCGAACCAGCGAACCCCAGGCTGCTGAAGCAGAATGTGCAACCTAACCGCTGCACCATCGGCCAGCCCGAGTATTCTTTTATATCCCAGCAAATGTTACTATCATTTACCCGGATGTTCAAGCCAAAAACCTGGATGTTATCCTTTATTCCTCTACCCTCTAGGACATATTGATTCTACTTCATAAATCTCTCTCAAATACAGCTATTATTCTTCAGTGCTGCCACTATTGGGCTCAAAACATTTTTTTCATTAACTGATGTGAATCTCACAATTTGGGCTATGCGTCCCTCAGTAGCTTTACCTTTTGCCATTTTTCCATCCACTCCTGCTCCATCCTTAATTCTATTTTATGCCTCTGCTATATGAACTAAATTGCTCAGTGTTCCAAAAAAGCCTGCTCAATTCGCTACCCAAATTTTCCGTGCAGTTTGCTTAGCCTGAAATACTCCTCTCCCGACTTGTAATACTTTGGCATCCTTCAAGTCTCAGTTTAGATGTGACTATGTAGGAATCCTTGCCTAATTCTCTAAACATGGGTTCAATCTGGCTTCTATGTGCTTCTACAATCCACATCTCTCCTCATCACAGCATTCATCTTTCTACTGGAATTGCCTGTTCACAATCATCCCCCATGAGATGACAGGCTCCACGAGAGCACAAACCATCACTTTAGCCATTATATCCCCTGAACACATCTAATATCCCACTTAAACATAAAGACACTCTATTTATTGAATAAATAAATGATGTAGGTCTTGCTTTCTCACTTAGATGGAAAGGGAACTTTCTGAACCTTCTACAGTGCCTAAAAGCATATGGTAGGCATTCATTACTTGTTGAACTAAGAATAGGCTAGAATTGCATTTCTTCTTCTTCCTTTCCACGTCTACAGTTGATACACAGCAGTACAAATGTAGTAAAATGTAAAATTTAAAACTCTATGTATTAAACTATATCTAGACAAGCACTGTTGAAATGTACAAAAACAAGATATTCGTGGTAGAAGCAAAGCTTTTCATCAATAGAAACACTCTATAATTCATTATATACATTGCTCTAGGAATTTTTCTAGAAAAGTCCTGTTGTTAAAACTCTCTCTCAAGTCTCCAGTCACTAATTATTCTATGAAGAAGAAAAACACACATAAAAAATAATGAATTTTTAGCATCATTTCCAAAAAGGCAAAAAAAAAGTATGGAATACCAAGAATAATGAGAAAAAAAAAAAAACACCTTAAGAAACATTTAAAAATCAGATAAATATAACAAATATTGCTATAAGTACAACTTTGTAAAAATAATGTCCTTGCTGATTGATTTTTAAAAAAAGAATGTTAAAAAATAAAGAAGGAAAGTTATCAGTAAAAGATAAATAAAACTTTAAGCAGAGCAGGAAATAGTACTAGCAATTTTAAAACGAGAAAAGGTGAAAAACAACTCAATATGATACTAAAAGTTTTTTAAATATCACAAAAGGATTTTGAAGTTAAATTTGAAAAAGTAATAATTAGGCATCTTCCATCTTACTTTTCTGGGGAGATCTCATATTTAGTGAAATGAAGAATTATATTAAATTTTATATTTATACCTTAGGAAGATACAATGGTCAAGAAGTTGGAAGGACAAAATACGGTTCTGTTGTAAAATAAGTTAATGCAAACTACCTTTGGTAAACTCTAAGAGCATGAAATGAGGATGGTATAAAGAATTAAAAATGAAACACTGCACTTTATTGTCCATTCATGACAATCTTTTAAAAATGTGTGTGTATATTTTTAAGTGAATTATAAGTTTTTGACTTTTAAATCACTATCAGGCTTCTTCCCTCTTTTTTCCTGACATATTATTTGTTATAATGTTATTTTTAGTTATCCTGCGGGCAAGAAACACAGGGCATTATTTTTAGATTTCATTCATCTTTCATAACGGAGACTCTAATTTCACCACCTTTAAAATTTTAATCACTGCACATTACATATTACTGAAATAGGTATTTTAAAGTTATTCAGTTAAATAATTGAATTTTACAGGCCATAATAATCATCTAACCTATTAAAATTCGAGTTTAACTACTGTTTTTAATATTTTAATAAGACTGATATTTTTCTTTGCTTTTAAAAAAGTTTTAACAAAAGTACAAAAATAAAACCATCAACACCTCTCCAACCCCCTAAAAAACTTCTCTAAAATATAGTGTAACAATGCAACCATATGATATTATCCTTATATTTCCAAATGTAACCTGGCAATCTTTCATGTCAGGGAAGTAATCGGTCAGAACCATCACACTCCTACCTATCCTGAATTGTCTAGCACTTACCAATAAGCAGAGTTGGAACTGGCTATGTTGGCAGCTATGGTACTCATTCTATGTTGCTGGCTTCTAAGGGGAAGAGTCTCCCTGAGGCATCAATGTCAGGTCAGTATAACTGAGTAAGGCGTATAATTGCTTGCTAAAGTAATTTTGGTTACTCTCTGAATTTACTATTACCTTAAAATTACCTGCATATGACTTCCTCCCTTGCTAGGCTACGGATTATCTCTGGAAAGAAATTCTCATCTTTACAGCTGTGGAATCTAGTTCAACTGTCTGATAGGAAAAAAACTATTAAACAAGTTTGCTGATTTATTGAAAAAAATGTCTTGTTCCTTCACACTCTTTAAATAGGCAGGGTCTTAAAGTGGTTCCCAAAGCAGTACCAAAGGGCCTAACAAACTAACTGTGAACATGAGACTGACAGCCTAGGACTATGACATATGTTATAGTCTCTATCAACTTAGCAAGAAGACAGTTCTTTGCTTCTTTCCACATGGTCCTAAAGTTATTAATTTATCAAGCAAAAAACATATATTAGCTTGTAGTGTAGTAGTTAAGTTTTACATAGTTACTTGGGCATATTTACCTGTCAGAGTGTTTTATTTTATATTAGATCTATCAAATGCAAAAGCAGATAATGTAACTTTTACATTAATGATATATGTTTAGAAGCTTTCTCTGTCTCTACCAAATGTGTTTTAATTTGCTTGAAACCTTGGACACATCAAGGTGTGGGGAAGTGCACTGGTACATTTAGCAGCACCTAATTTCATGAGTTTCAGACTAGGTGCCAAGAAATGAGGTCATCCAAATATTTGGGGAATAAATTAAAACTAAACCAACTGTTCCTTTTCCACCCATTATTCTCATACTTGACTCAAGGCACCTACAATGAAACTTTAAAATTAAGTAGAGAAAAACTTACCTAGTTGGGATTTTGAATAATAGTTTGCCATTTGTCCACTGTTGCAAGACTGTCGTTTATGTCTTTTTGTTGACATTTCTGTGGTCTTCCATGGTGGTCTTTTTCTTTTGTTCAATTTGCTAAGAACTTCGGAACTATCAGAAGGATTCTTGTCATAGTTAATACATTTATTTAATTTACTATTGTCAAGTTGGTCAGGAAATTTTTCAGTTGAAGGACTATTTGCTTTAGCATTTTCTATTTCTTTAGATTGCTTTTTGAAAGAATTTTGCCTAGCAGAATGGGATCTTAAGGTAAAGCGCCTCGATTCTTCTATATGAGTCTGACGATTATTTCCACTGTCAATAGATTCAGGAGAGTAAATTATTGTATTTAACTTAAAAGTATTTCTGTGTTCAAGATAGTTGATCTTCCTCAAAAATATTCTACAATCTTTTAAGGTTTTTGATCTCCAATTATTTGAACATACATTTCCTAGTCTTAGTCCCTTTTCAAAATCTTTTTGACTGTAATTTGTTCCATTCTCCTTTGCTTCTGACTTAAATTTATTCTCTAATCTAGCATGTGTTTTGAACTCAGACATTGCCACCCTTTGTTGCAAAAAGTCATCCCTGATCTCAGGTGGTAAAATAAACTGATTATCTACTGTGTTTTTTCCTTGGAGTGGGATGTCAGCATTTGTTCCCCCCTCAGTCTTATTTAAAAATTGGTTCTGGCAGAAAAATCTCAAGTTCCTCCTTTTGGAGATCCAATCCACTGTTCCTTGGTTGAGCAGTTTCCCCTCTCTTCTCCACCTTTCATGCTGCAACCTCTTAAACTCAGTTCTTTTTAATCTAGCTAGTGTTAAATTATTCTTCACATTTAAGATTGGAGAGCTAACCATTTTATGCAGTATATGCAACTTCCCTGCTGATTTTGAAGGAGAAGATAGTGCAAATTTTTTAAAGTGCTTTCTGAAGGGGCTGGTACTAAAATCAGAATATTTGGTCCTTAATTTAATTCCTCTGGTATTTATTACTTCCAAAGGGTTTCGAGCATTTGCTTTTCTAACTAGTGAAAGAGACTGTGTTTCTGTTGTTTGCATAAACCAGGTACAGAGTTCATTTAAATCATACTTTTTCCGAAAAAGCATTTTTACAGGTGAAACTTCAAGTTCTAAAAGACAGGTTTCCAAAGGGTTTGCTATTTTGAAACTATCCTTGTCAATGTGTTCTCTTCTTTTATGAACACAATTTTCAGCTTCATCTCCACTCACTTGCACCCAAGCATTTGTTATTTGCTCAAATCTATTGTTTAATTCTTCTAATAAGGAATCATTGGAAGTAGAAGCAGCCCACCATCTGAGCAAAGGGTTTGATGAAATGATGGGGTCCAAGGATACTTCAGAAATGGGTAGTAACTTATCTTCCAAACACCTTTTTGCATTCCTTGAATTTCTAGCTCCTGGGGCACACTTGGAAGCTATTTTTATCCTTGACTGCCTATGTTTTTCCTTCTGACTTTTACCTTTCTGCAAATGGAGTTTATATGATTTATGGAGCAGAGTATTTCTATAAATTAGTGAGCTAGAAGATGCTAATGAATGTAAGAAATGCAGAGATGGTTTCCTATTCCTAATAGAATGTCTCAATGGTATAGTAGCAACCATGCTTTTTGATCCCTTCTTAAATATGTCAGTTTCCGTGTGCCTTGTATCGATCTTCTTGCATTGGTGATCATACTTTTCTTCAGGCAGCTTTTTTTCTAATATATTCTCTTGTTCTAAAGGAGGTAAGCAGCTGCTAATACTTACTTCTCTCTCCTGAGGTGAAATTCTATTAATAGTCACAGATATGCCAGAGATTTTCACTTTTGCAGGTCTACCAGGCTTCCTAATTATTGCCAAAGGCTTCTGATTTGGTCGAGTGATGTTCTTGGAAAGTTGAGGTATCACAGATTTGTTCTTGATAGGTCTGACATATTCAAAGCCAGACCCCAAGATCTCACTTTCAGTAGTCAAACTGGAAACAGCATTAATTCTTTCACCCGAGTCAATTTCGTATTCTCTAATATTTCTGAGACCACTATATTCAGCTGGAAAATCAGCAACATTATTGTTTAAAGACATAACATTGCTTATGTTTACACTCCCTTCAGAAACATGTCTTTTAGTTCTTCTTGACCTTCCATAAATAACAGTAACTGTAATACTCTTCTTATAAATACCTTCTTTTACTTCTGATATGAGAGATTCTGGGCTTTTCTTTCTAGCACTGAAGGACTCATTTTGGCAAATAGTGATGTCTGTTTGATCAGTTTTAGGTTTTGGTGGTCTTCCAATTGGCCGCTTAATCTGTTTCACAACCTGGGGACCTATTTTCTTAGGTCTACCTGGTTTTCTTTTAAAAGATGAATCAACAGCACTGCTTGAGTTTTCCTTAGGTTCTTCTTGTGTCTTACCATTATTCATATCATCTATAAACATTGCACAGGATTCTGCAGTTTCTTTTGCACAATTACATTTTAGTTCTCCCTGTAGAGTGTCACAATCATTAAGACCAGAACTATAATTTTCCAAGTTACCATTTGAGATATCCTTATTTGTTTCTGTTTTTTTTTCAATTACATGATGAGTTGGATGTTTTTCAGAAGGAAGATCAATATTTGATTCAGAAGTACCAACTGAAGTTAAAGTATATTTGACTCCTTCACTGCTTTTAACCTCAGATAACAACATAAGTTTGATAGGACTAGAATAGTTGGAAAAAGAGCTCTCAATGGCTTCATATTTTGTTGGTACATCTTCAACACTGGAAATCAGGCTACTAGTATCTAAAATAGATGACTTTTTCAAATTACCAAGTTTTTTGTTATTCAAATCTATTGTAGGTATATGACTGCTTCTAATCAAGTTGCTGGATGCTACAACAGCTTTTGATAAACTCTGTTCTTTGCATGTCATTCTGCTTACAGTAAGAGTCATATTTCTACCAGGATTTTGATCTTTACCATCAATTTCTATCAACTTCTTGGGTGCTTTAAATCCTTCTGATAACGACTGGTTATTCCAAGACTTTTTGGCCATATTTATTGTATCCTCCAAACGCTCCACAACTACTTGTAAATTAGAATTCATTGCAATTTTATTTAGATCTATATTGTGTGGGCTTTCAACCTGAATGTTTTTCACTGGATCCTTTTTTTTTGTAGATCCAGAAACTTTTTTGGCCTTAGGGGAGTTTTTGAAAACATAATTATTTGTTACGTATATAGAATACCACCCTGGAGGCACAATATTCCGTTTAGCCCTACTCAAAAGTCCTGGAACATCACTTTTCAAAGGAGTTTGAGTAGTCTCTAATTTTGGGTTCTCCTTATGATTTTGCAAAAAAATTTTTCCAGCTGCAGATTTCTCCTGTGATTTTCGTATGCTCGTTTTCTCATGAGAAGTTGTCTTAAAGCTTTCTGAAAAAGCATCAAAAGCGAAGTTAGTTTCTAAACTATGAAGAGGTAGTTGCAATGATTGTAATGTATCATCTGGTGAAAACGATGTTTCTGCATGACTGTTTTCTTGAAGGCTTCTAGAATTTTGTAAAGGTGATTGGCAATGATAGAATTCTTCTTTGTCCATTGAAGATATCTCACCATTGCACATCAATTTCCTTGAATTTTTTTCAGTGTATTTTTTCCTTATAAAATTTTCATCAAGACTAGCAAGTTCTCTTTTTATCTGTAAAGACTGCCTTCTAAACATGGGTGAATCAGGAGAGTTGTGCATTGCAAATAAAGTTTCTTGACGTTTTCGAAATCTTGTCTGAATAATTTTATTTTCTACCTTTTTATCATGTTGACTAAGTAATTCCATAAAACTGTAATCACTGGCCTTTGCATTATGCAAGAGAGAGGTTATTAAATCTCTCAATTTTAAATCATTATCGGTATTACAATCACTGCTAGATAATTTTATAAGGTTTGTCATATCTGTGGTTTCTATTGATTTTAATTTTTCATTAATACGATCCATTAAATCTTGAAAAATTACAGTAGTTTCCCCTTTTTCATGATTTGTAGTACAATTATTGCTGTCTTCCAAGAGTGAAGAATCTGAGTTACCGAATTTCTCAGTTTTATGTATTTTACTTTCGTGGTCACCCTTGTCATTGCTTACTTCTGCTGGTGTGAGAGATGGAGGTTGGTTCATGTTTGCTTCAAGTCTGTTATTTTCTAAGGCTGAAAGCTCTGAGATGACGTCTTTCAATTTTTCAAATCCTTCAGTCTGTACAGGTGATAATGGTGGAGGTGAGGGACTTCGAGATCTACAAACGTCTTTAAGACTGACTGAAACGTCACATACTTCCCTTGATGGAAGAGGAGTGTGAAAGCCTGATTTTGTAGAGTGAATGTTTGGTAAGAGTCCAGAACAGCACCTGTGAGAATGATAACTGTTTCCAATTCCTCTACTCACTACTGTCTTAATGTGTTCAACAGTTACAGTTTGGCAAGATAAACAATGTAAATCTTTGATACAGACTGGCAGAGGCATAAAACCAGGGCTTTTTCTTTCATTTTGTAAACACCCTCTTTCTGCCAGCCTATATTCACAACTACAGAACAGACCAAGTAAATCATCTTCACTCAGGGGCTTTTGAGATTCTGAAGACACAGTATATGACGTATTACAACAACAAAGAGAAGCAGCATTCTGCTCTTGGACTAGAAATTTCAACATAGCCAAAACTTGTTGCTGGTGATGTATGCACAAAGATTCCAAAACTTTGCTTAATGCTGATTTTCTTTTTTCCATTTTAGTAGCTTCCTCTGACTTTGGATCAACAGTTGAACTAAAAATAAAAATCAAACAAAAAATGAATTACAGCAAAAAAACCAATATTATACGGAGTTATAATTTTAACAGAGTTTGAACAAAAGATATCTTGATATTGCTGGTCCTAACTCCTGGAGAGCTGTAATAATGACATCTTGATTATCGTTTAGCAAAAATATAACGAAGCACTGATGATAATTAATTCCCTATGACAATGTATTAGAGTCAAAGTAAAGCTCTAGTTTTGCAATAGAAAAGCTGATAATTATAGATATGATTATATTCACAGATTGCTAATGTTTACTGCTTTGTATATATTAAGAATATTTAATGGGAAGTGCTTCAGAAGGACTTAAAATTTTTGTAAAGTAGGCTTTTTAAAAGTTATTTTGATAATTATCAGTTCATACTAGCACAAATAAAAATAAGAAGTAGGAGAAAATCTCTTATCTTTATTTAGAAGTTTTTTTTCATGGTAGTAAAAACAAAATTATTAATAAGAGAGAGCTCTACACAGTCCCAAGGATGATTACGGAATTTAGATTTCATATAAATAACAGAATGTCTTTTCTAAGATTAAGCTGCAGGCATTTTAACCTAATAAGAAAATTAAAAATTTAAGCTATTTAAAAATAGAACCTATTTTTAATTGATTTTAAATACTAAAGTAATTACATCAAAACTACAGGCATTACTTACCTAATTATTTAATTTCAAATGCTGGAAAATGTCCCACTGCAGAAATTAATATATATCTAACTTTAACTAAGACCCAGGATTACTTAGCAACCAAGGTAGAAGGCTACAAAAAATTTTTTTAATCCAATACCAGCAGCAAGAAGAATAAAATATATTAAAAGAATTCTGTTTCAGAAAAGTATCTATTCAAATTAAACATATCACCAAACTCTGTACATGAAAATAGCCTCCCACTACTGATTTCTTGTATTTCTTGTTGTTGTTAGTAGTTCCTGGTTTGCAGAAATTTTATTTAGGGTTGGAATTGGGATATGCTGATTATGAAGTGCTACAGAAGATAGTATTTTGTTTAAATAAAGGGTTATTACATTCATGTATTTTAAAAATTAAAGGGTTTTTCTTTTAAAATGAAAAGTGAAATTAACTTTTTTATTTTGCTCCCTAAAACTGGCTTGTTTCTCAGATAAGTATGCAATATTTTTTCTACATTTTATAAAAAATTATGTTGAGTAACCAAAACACCAAAATAAATTTTGAACATTAGATCAAAATTTTTCTAGAAAAAAAGATAATTTTACCAGATTCAACCAATGTTTCACTAAAACTAGCATGTGATTTGACATAAAGCAGCTATCAACCAAAGTGAGAAGAGAGATGAAATTACAATCAAATGTTTTGAGTCCACTGCTGCCTCTAAACACATGAAGACAAGGACATAACCCCAGTATCCTTTCTTTTCTGAAAATAATATTTTTGTAAATTTTATCATGCTTGGGAGTGCAAAATGATGGAACTGACTCCCAAGATTCACTATTAGATAATTAAAAAACTACATGTAGAGAACAAAGGCAGGAAGAAATGTTAACTATCAAAAATGAAGATATAAGCAAATTATGCTCTTTTCCAGCAAATTAAAAATATAGTTTTCACATAAGCAAAAGAAAACCCAAAAAAGTTCTGACAGATGCACTTTAACAGTTTCTTTAAAGTTATGTTATGGCCTAATAACCTATCTGTGACTAAGTATTTAAAGAGAGATTTTATGTTTCTCAGAAAAATACATTGCACTTTATTTTAAAGATTGATATACACTTTCATAACAGTATCTGAAATGCTCAAATGCTTTTTTCTGTTAGCAAAGTCAAGTATAAAGTAGAAATAACTGAAACTAATAACTAGTGTTAACTATTCAGAAAACCTCCGCAAGATTTTTCTCTCTCTTCTGACAAGGAAGTTTATAGTTTAAAAGAGTTTTTTATTCAGTTTGCTAATGGAATTCCAAAAATATCACAGTGGCCAGTAATTTCCATCTAATGCTCTATGAAGAATAGCTTAGCGAAGTTACTAATTCAATATTCACGTGTTAGATTATATCTGATATATACATATCAGATATTAGATAACTAAATTCTCAAATTATAAAACCCCACAATATGCCTACTTGGCTTCAAACTTCTTCTTTTCCACATTTCTTGCATGTTAGAACCTCAAATAAAAACCTAAATATGAGTAAATAATAGTTGAATACACATAAGTCTCTAATCTAGAATATATTCTCAAGTGATCATATAAATGTTCTAAAATTGCTTATTCTATAGCTCCCTTGTTTTCAATGCTAAAAATTTTTCTAACCTTTTCCTATTTGATTTATAAACCAAAACATCCTGCCTATTTTTTCCATGTTACTATCCATTCTGCCCATTAAAAGTTTTGTTGATGAAATAGTTCTTTGGAGAAAGTCAATTGCTAATATTAATCTTAATAAAACTGCTTCCTAGAGTGAATCAAAGAAGTCAGTGTAGCCGTTTTTTTTCTTTTCTTTTCTTTTTTTTCTTTTACTGAATGAGTAAATCAATCACACACCAACAGTGTTGTAAATTTAAGTGCAAAAGCATTGAAGTGCTTTACTACAAATTACAACCTAGAAACACATTAACTGAACAATTAAAATTCATACAATCAGATTTAGATATATAACAACACAAAGTAGGAACAGAATTACAGTACATTTACAACACAAGACAGATACATGAATTCATTAGAAAATATTGTAATAAATAATTCATGAATTATAGTGCAATTGATTTATGCATAAATATAACTAATTGCCTAACAATCAGTTTATATTAACAAAATCTGTCAAAATCAAGGCAGCCACAGAGTTTTACTAAATTACTGTGACAATGGAAATACTGCAATTAAAAAACAAATACAAGTATTTGTACTGTAAACAACTAAAAAAATCAGTCTCACTAAAGTTAGTATACAATTTAATATAAAATTATCATTAGCTACCAGAAATGGTTTAAACAACTTTACTGAGCAGTAGTTTTCTAAAAACAGAGGCACTGTTTTTTCTTTTCCTTCTTTTTTTTTAAAATATAAAATACTTGAGGAACATTCAAATAAGTAGAAAGCACATAATGGTTGCTTTCACCTTCATTAAAAGTCTGCTGAAACTGGATTTTTCAGAAAATTGTCAATTAATAAGTAATAACTGGTAACTAAATTTATAAAGTACTTTGAAAGTTTAACATAAAGAATATCTTAATAGAATCACTGGGGGGAAGGGGAAGCCATAAATTTCCCTGCCTTTCCAAGTTTGTATAATCAAAAGTGAACTCAATAATTAGAAACACTTTGTTTCTTTTAAAAGTTAGGAGTTGATCATTACCTACAAACTATCAAAAAATATTTAATTTACTATTTCTGACCAAAAATAAATAATACAAGTACTAAAACGTGGCAAATTAACTATAATATTACCTATAAAACTACTGAGCACTGTGAAGTCAATAGCAAAATGATCCCTGATTTATGAATCCTGTCAAGTTTTTGGTCAGGTCATCTTTTAAATGATATGAAAGTGTTCTGTAAGTATCCCTTTGCTATAAACTTCTCAATCAATTTATTAATGTAAATATAGTGTGAGGAATAAAAAAGCTCAATACAATATAAATATTATGTAATGCATTCAAGCCCCCAAATTTTTGCAAGTAAAATTCTGTATAAAGAGGTCAATAAAATTGTGTTGAAACATTTACTTTAACTTTGCTTTTCACTGGGGGCGCGGGGGGCGGGGAGGGGAAATACATTAAATCATCCAAGTTCTGGCCCTCACAAAATATGGCTTAATTCTTTAAAAAGAAAGATGACCCTGACATCTGCTGTTTTGCAATCTATTATGTATACTTTCTTGGGGGAATAAAAAAGAGCGAGAGGATTCATACCCTAGCATGCAGGTAACATTAATTGCTGAAGAGGGTTCAGTATAGATCGAAGAGACCAAATATCTACTTGGTTGTGTATTTTCCTCTCTTCAGTTTCCTTATACATATGTAAGCAGTTTTTCAATGCAATAGCTGAAAATCTCTTTAGTATTACATGTATATGTGATTATTAGATACACACAAACACAAGTGTAAAAACACAAGTATTTGACAAGGTGCACTTATTTTTTAAATTCAGCTTTAAGTATTCCTTTTGGACTTAGGAAAACTGGCTTAGAAAAATGATCAGAACCTGACTTTTAACAGAGCAAAGGGGCACTCGGAGAACTGTGAACATATGAAGCAAATCCCCAATCTTTATATGGAGGCACATGCTTTATAACATTTTACCACTAAAACGGCATACTCCATAAATCCAACATGGATACTCTGAACCACATTTTAAAACTGCTATATAAAAATTACTGGTCTCTTTTATGAGGCTAGTAAAAGTTAAAATGCACTGCCCAGCTTCTAACTGCCCAATTAGTAGAGTTTACATTACTGAAAGTTCAAAACAGCTTCAGTGTTAAATATTTGTAAATCCATTTAAGACCCTGAACAAACTGCAAATTTGGTTATTAGCAAAATGATAATGTATCGCCCACCAAAATGAAATCTGTAATTCATTTTTGATAAACTGAAAATGTTTTGAAATGTCACAGCAGCAAATATATTAAAGTTACACTGAGGTTTTTCAATAGTAGGAGTCTATCACAATCCTTAAAATTTAAAGTAGTCATAACATCAACCAACCAGCACATTTAAACCAAAATGATCATTCTCAAGCTTTTTCTGTGCCCATTATAAACATGCTCTAAGTTGCATTCCAACTTTCTTTTCTAATCTTACACATTAGCTTATTTTTCAAATGAAAAACAAAATTAAATTATTTTAATAATTAAATTTAAATTACTTTTTGTTCTTAGTATTCCATCTTATATTAAAGGATTTTATAGCTCCTGGGGTTAACAATGTGTCAGTTTTTTTCAAAAAGTGTATACCTTATAAACCCCAACTTCCTGCTACAACAACTGTTAAATGATAAATATTAAATTTCATTATACATATCATTTAAGGTTTTCTTGTCTATTCCTGGTGGATGCACTTGAGTGCATTTCATATTTCATAGAATGCACTGTAGTGTCCTAATACTGTATATATTAATTTTTCTTAGTATGGAGATAGCTGCGTATTTAAACTCTGATTGGTTGGTTGACGTACTTACAGTAACTGTAAGTATGTTAGGTAAAAATGTTTAAAAACTATTAATATCATATTTCCATTATAAGATGGTTTAACTGAATGGCTGGGGTGGTCTTTCACCTATAAAAATGTTTCACTTGACAATTACTTGTTTTCCCACAACGCTTTATGCTATTGACTACTAAAGAAAACCTCAATCTTTTTCACCTATTTATACAAGGATTAAATACAAACTATCAGAATTAAGTAAGCAACTATATAATTCTGTCCACAGTGAAAACCCTGAATAAAACTTTTTTTCAAAAGGCATGTAAGTGGTTTTTGAACTGTAAAATTTCATGTCTCCTGTCAGAGTGAGCATCTGTAATTCCCACGTGTGTGTATATAGACACACAAATACACACCTGTGCACATACACACACACACACAAACACACATACACACACGCACATACGCACGTACAAACATTTTCCTAACAAGTAATCTACACAGGCTTGCTGCTGTTTTTGCAGCTGCCAGTCCCTGAATCTGTCATATTATATAACCCAGTGTCTGGTACTCGGAGTTTCTTCGGAGGAGTCTTCAGTGTTCCAGATCTTTCTTTTACCTTGTATTCTAAAGTGCCGTGAGGTACCCCATAAATTCCTTGTGCTTTGGAAGCACTCATTTTGCCACTCATTACCATTGCAATAGCCTCTTCCATTATTTCATGATCATACTGCCGATAACGGCCACGTTTTTTCCTGGGCTGCTTATTATCTTTTCGATCCAATCCATCTTCAGTATTTTCAGAGGTTCCATCAACTGTTCCATTTTTAGAATTAAGACACAAAGGAGAGAGGTCCCCGGGTAGAAAGTAAGAGTCAACACTTGAGTGAGTTACGGGCCCAGAACATTCTATTTTCTTCTGTTTAGGGAGTATATTTTTCAGTTTTTGGAGAGCTGATCCTTCTAGGACTGGAGAGGTTTTGGAAACTTGATACATAACATCCAGCAGACCAGGACCATCAGGTTGTGGTTTTGAAACAGAACTTACTCGTAGTTGAGGAATTTTTAACTGTACAGTAGGATGTGAAGTTTCATATTGTAGGCTTTCATTTTTTTCTTTAAATTGAGTAACCATTTTCTGTAGAGTTAACTGATGGAGGTAACTGGAAGCTGTTGGGAATTTTAATTCTGAGGTTTCAAGTAGATTGAGTTTACTTTTTTCTGTGCGCTCTGCTTGAGCTCTTGCCCACAGGGCTACTTTTTGCAGCACTGCACAAGTTTCTTTACTGTCTTTATATGAGTAACTATCATTGAAATCTCGAGTTTTGTTTTTAAAAGATGCAGGCTTCCCTGCTGGTAAGGCTTCTAAGTGGAGAAGTAAAGTTTTTTGAGGTATGCCATAAAGTATGCCTGCTTTATTTATGTCCAGTGCTCCAGACTGAATGTCTTTCAAAGCTTTTGAGAGCAAACCATCTGCAAACTCAGCACTTCTTTCCACATAGTCCTCTCTGTTTCTGTGTAGTCTCCTGGATGGATGGAATGAAACGATGGTAAACTGATGCATGAGAGACTCTCACACAGCTATGGAAGGGGAGGGTCCACTCCTTTATTATACTCCTTGCTTAGGTAACATCACTGCTTATGACTCTTTTAAGTCTGTGAGATGTAGTAGTTACTCCTTAACAAAGCAAACGCTACAGTCCTGGTAGGACAATGTGTCAATCATACGGTGGCCTCAACGGGCAGACCTTCCAAGAACATAAAATCCTAACTCAGTATTTGTAAAAATATTCTCATGATGTTGCTATTCCTCTGACAGATGCTTGCAGAGCAACACTTATAATTTTTATTTGTACAATTAGACTTCCATTATAAAAAATACCCAAATCCTAAAGGAGTTTTTGTTAGTAGAAACGTGACGTTACCGCTAAACAAGTAATAAAAGAGTCAACCCCTTTAAAGGAAATATGTAGCAGCAAGAATATTTCCAAACACAAATATCCCATATTTCCACAAGACCAATTTTTCTCTAGACAAAAACTTAAAATTTGAAACAGGTAGATAATTTATATTTGGATAATGTAAATTTTAGATATTATAAATGTTATTTCTATTTCAAATGTATCATTGTAATTTTCAGTTTCTCAAATAGAAAGCTTACGATACCTTATGACTCCAAAACTACTACAGCCTCAGTTGAAAAACTTACACTCTACATCTAAGATTTAAATGTGACAAAAAAAGCTTCCTATGCAGTTTATTAATGGGAAGATGCAAAAGTTACAAAAAACAATCCAAAAATCCAACAGAACAGCATTTCACTACTAATTATTTATTTAATTAATTTAATGACAGCTTTCAAAGCATGAAAGGACTTTTTGTGGTGATTACTAGATACATTAAGTAGTTTGCCACCACACCTAAAGCACAACGAAAAAAATGTAAACACTATAAGCTAGCTATAAGAATTAGTAAGTACAGTACTTTTAAAATTTGTTGATTGTTTAAAAAAATTAAATAGTGAAATTACATATTTCCCTTAAAATTGCCTCTTGAAAATTGAATTTAAAAATTCTCTTTACTCATCCTGCTTCTTAGTTTGTATTCTATGATTAAGTTGGCAGTTCATTTTAGTAACATGAACTAAAGTTTGGTGATTGTTCTGATAACTTTTCTTTAACAGAAAGAATAAAAAAGAAAGAGAAAGGACAAATGAAAGGTATGAGAGACACACACTTATGAGTGACAAACTCCCGGAGGAAAACTATATATGTCAATCTACTCAGAGTAGCATTAAGAGTTCTCTGCAGAGATAATTCTATATCAATATTAAATTACATTTCCTAGATATTGCTTACCCAGCCACTGAATTTTCAGAAGAAGGATCGCATATGGATGACTCTTCAGATTTTATGCTGGTTTTCTTTGTAGAGAGATCTAACACTCCATCCCCTATAATTTTTGCAAGAGAAAAAACTTTATATTTGTGACAGACAGGTAATCTTTACATTTCAACATTTCATATTTTGCTGATCTACTAATTCATGACCTAAAAATTAACAATTGTACTTGACACGTGGCCATTACCAACTCATCTCACGGTTTTAGCAACAGGACATGACTGCGAAGGCACTACATAGGAAAAAAGAAAAGAGGAGGAGCTAGCATTGGCAAGTGATATGAAGACACAAACAGGCTATGAAATAAAATCTGCTTAAAGTCAATCCTTGGTCACCTTTCCCCCTGTTTTGCAGTGAACAGTCATTTGACTGCTCATCCATGACTGTTTTCTATTCATGGCTGCCCAGATGATGCCTTGGGAAAGTAGCAATGATATTAAGTTGTACAAATCATACAGCATAGAAAATATGATGACGAATAAGGGAAAAATAATTAGCATTTACCAGGACTAGCAATATGTGGAACATACACTTTAGGTACAGTGTGACTCTATGTATAACCCATTTTTCTTAAAACTCACAATGTAAAATTACACTGTTTTAAATAATTGAAATGTACAACAGTTGAATTATTGCCTATGTAATATATTATGGTTGTATCTGTGATGGGATGAAGACATAACTTATAACAATATAACATTTTAGGAAAAATAACCTGTTAGAAACAACTGCCTAAGTATTTGTTGTTAAAATACAGTTATTTTATTACTCTAATACTGAATTGACATAAAACTTCAATGATTGAGACGTGCTAATATGATGACCTTCAAGGTCAAAAAGAATAAACTATGAATTTAAAACACAGCAAGAAATAATACTGTGAATGTCTTTACTGATAGCTAAAAAATTGAAAGTTTAAGCTATATGAAAGGAATCATTATAAGAAAATAATGTTTAAAAAATATACTCAAAAATTCAACTAAGTTAAAAAAAAATTCAACTGTGGTTTATGATTACCATATAAATTTACCTAACACTTAAGTGTGCTGGCAAGATAGAGATGACAAAAAATAAAACATAACATCCTACCATCACCTACTATGTATAATTCAATAATAATTTGAGTGCTTACTATGTGCAAAGCACTGTCTTAGGAATTTGGAGAGCAGCAGTAAAAAAGGGCATACTAAGTACCTATTCTCGTGGTGCTTAGGATCTAGTGAGATAATTCACACACCACCACCACCACCACCACCAAACATATTTCAGGTTGATGCTCAGAGCTACTCTGGAAGGATAAAGCACAGTAAGCTGACAGAATAACGAGGGTAGGGCTGAGGAGGCTGCTATTTCTCGAGTGTTATCAGTCCAGGCCTCTTTGACTTGAACAGAGTCCTGAACAAAGTGAGGGTACCAGAACTAAGCAGATTATCTGGGGGAAAGCTTCTAGAAAAAACAGTTTGTGCAGAGGCTGTGATATGCAATCATGACTGGAAAGCGTGAGGAATAGCAAAGAGGCCAGGGTGGCTGGAGTGGAGTAAGCCAGGCTGAGTGAGATGAGATCAGAAATGCTGTAGGCCTTGTAGGCCATGGTAAGAAATTTAAATTTTATTTTGAGAGAGACAGGAAATCACTGGAGGATTCTGATCACAAGACTGACACAATTTAATTTACATTTCTAAAGCAACCTGCTGTGGGGAGAATGAAGTGCAAGCGGAGAGGGGGAGCAGGGAAACCTGTTGGGAAAGTGCTGTGCTGCTTCTCATCTCTGGGCTTTCACAATCCCAGTTAGTTTCATCTACTTAGACGTCTCCTAATCCTCTCTTAGCCTCTCTTCCTTCTCTCCCCACACTCGCCCTAATTCTCACCAAACCTTACTCAGCATTCCATCATTCAGGACACAACTTGGACTTGGTTGATCATCATTTTCTAGGCTCCTAGACCTGCAACACTTACCTATATTATTTAGCACCTAGCAGGCTGTATTCTTGTTGCTTATATACTTACCAGTGTTAGCCACCAGACTATAAGCTATGTGAGGCCAGAGACATGTCTATTTTATTCACTGTTGTATCCTCACTGCCTAGAACAGTGCCTGGCACACAATAAGTGTTCAACAAATATTTGCTGAACAGAATTTGGAAGAACTGGAAGGCATTCAGTATGGCTACAGGTTAGAGTGCCTAGATTAAAAGGGTAAAATGGGAGATTGGACAGGTAACAAAGTATACGGCATATAGTACCTTAACTAATTATTCAATGAAGATCTTGCTCCAGTTTATCCATCCAGCCCAATCTCATGCTTTTTCCCCAAATCATCTCAACCCTCACTTGCTATCTAACCACCTGAAGTTCCTCAAACACACCACGTGGTGTCAGATCTCTCAAATTGGAGTACATGGTTCCTTCTGCCTAGAATGCTCTTTTCACCTTTTCAACTTGCCAACTCCTATTCATCTTTAAAGATCCAGATCCTCCCAAGCAGAAACTGAGTACTTTTTCCTTTGTGTCAAAGGTGTCCTAGGAAACTTATATACGCAATTCTAAACTTTTCTAGACTTTTGATACGGTTGATTTAAAATTATTACACAAACCAGAAAAAAGAAAAAGAGGTAGAGAGAACCTCATGTCTCTCTCCTTTACACTAGCTGTGCAAACTAGGCTGTAGCTCCCTAGCTAGAGCAATAAAGGTAATCTCGTCCTTTTGGTACCACTCCTTGACTGCTGGTTTGATAGCCACACACAATCCTGGTCATAGCTAATTTTAATCTTGAGGATGAGCCAGACCTAAGCCCTGTTCCATATTTAAGAGAGCAACTTAAATTACGTCTATACTCCTGATTCCTCTTCTTTAGGAACTCTAAACAGGTGAGACACGCTTTAATCTTTTTTCCATAACCCCTTCTCCACACCTAGGCCCATGTCAAAAGTTTTGTTCTAAAAGGATTTGCTAACTAAAGTAATACATTATAGTCTGTATCTAGTGAAAATGGAAAATATACACCTTCGACATATTTCTGCCACACAAGTCTTTAATCAACGAACATTTATGTAGTGAATACAAAATACAAAAATATATAAGTAAAGGATTTTTAGATATTATCTATAGAAAAAATCTCAGTTTTTGTTAGTATTATCACCTATACGAATGTATTTTGCTGAAATCATGATTCTTCTTTCCATCACAAAGGCTGTAGCTCACGAGCTTAGAAAAATAAAAGGAGTTACCCCTAGGATTGTCTGGACTAGAAAAGCAAGAACAATAAGAGAGGGGGAGGGGTTGGCCCCGTGGCCAAATGGTTAAGTTAGCACTCCACTTCAGTGGCCCAGGGTTTCGCCAGTTCGGATCCTGGGTGCAGACATGGCACCGCTTATCAGGCCATGCTGAGGTGGCGTCCCACATGCCACAACTAGAAGGACTCACGACTGAAATATACAACTAAGTACTGGGGGGGGGGGGGCTTTGGGGAGAAAAAGGAAAAATAAAATCTTTAAAAAAAAAAACAAAAGAGAAAGGGAAAGAGAACTTGGGAAGAGGGACTGGGGATAAAGGGCATTTTCTTGCTCCTGTTAATAATTTATATCTAACTGAATGGTGATTACATCTATCAGCATCACTCCTTCACAAAAGAGGTACCATATCATAACTAGATTCTGCATGTAATATTTCCAAAGTACTAATTAACTTGATGGATAAAAACTAAGCACTTACTATGCTAAATTCTCTATGGCAATATAAAATAAGTAGAAGACAGAGAAAGAGAAAGATTGAAATTTATTTACCATTCACCTCTTGGTAGGTTCCTAGGCTGTTTTAGTTTTTCACTATTACAAACAACGCTGAAATGAAATCTATCTAAATGTTTTCTTGTGTCTATGTACAAGAATTTCTCTAAGATATACACCTAGAAGTGAAAGTGCTAGACAGTAGGGTATGTACATTTTGAACTTTAGTATACATTACCAAATTTCTTTCCCACATCCTTGACAACACTTGGTGTTGTTGAGATTTTTAATTTTTGCTAATCTGATGATAAAGAAAAGCAAGTCATAGGATTAAATTAACAAGAGTGCATTTGGTATGCATTTATGTGAATTGTTAAAGTACGCAAAACTATTTTGCTTATAGATGCATAAATAGGTATTATTAGTAGTTGCTCCCAAGGACAAATGAAAAGATGTAATAGTTACTTTAGAGAAAACGTGTCAGAAGCAAGTACAATCAAATAACACAATTATTATTTCTGAGTGACAGGAACATGATTATTATGCTGTATTTTTCAGTATATTTAAAGATCTTCCTAATAATAAACACAAATTATTCCCATTTACTGGTTGTAGACTGGACATTAACATCACAATTTAATTATTTCTGATCAAAAACTAATGCAAAATGTGTAGAATTAAAAAGAGGCTAATGTAATCTTTCAACAGGATCAGGTAATTGTTGTATATATGACGCTACCAGAGATAACTTTTAACATGGACTGTGTTTGAAAAAATTGAAACCATGACCAAATCGGGCAGTATCTTGAGTATTAACATTTTATTGGGATAATTTTCTTAGAATTCACCTTCTGTTAAAATCAAGATTTGAATTTTCATTCACAAATTGTTCTCAGTTCTGTGTTTTCATGCGAATTCCTGATAAAGGAGCTATTTAAAGCAGACATATGCAAGCCTCATAATATAGAATTGTTTCTCACCTCCTCCAAGGACACCGTTCTTTCTCATCTCTTATCTAGCCTTTGTCCATTCAAAGTATGCTCTGTGCTCTTAGCCTGGCTAACTTCTACACATCCTTCAGGATCATCCCTTTAAAGAAGGTTTTCTTAATTTTTCCCTACCCTTCTTTCATACTCCCACAGCACCCTTTGTATTCTATACTGTGTTTATGATATGTTGTTATAATTTGCCTACTTTAGTACCTAAAGTCCAACATTATTGTGAGGAGTTAGTAACTATGTCTAATATCTATTTAAGATTTATATATAATTACATATAATTACTTGGCTGATTTTCTCACAAGACTCACTTCCCAAGCAAGGGCCA